TTCAGAAGATCTGAATAACATCAAAGTGTTCCTTTTGTTCTGATTATATTCCTAAGCTTTGTAAACTCGACTCTTTCCTGTGATATACTATAGATGAACTTTTGTGAGGTATTAATTTGAATTGATATGTGAGGTCTAAGAAGAGGGAGCCTTCTGTCACGAGGCTTATTTCGGCTATATTTAGCTCTTTGTCTCAACTGGAAATTCTTAGGGGTCTGCAAATCAGAAAGGTCAGCAACTGTAGTATTAGAAACACTGATAGATAGTGCATGAAAATGAGACCTAACCTCTAAGATGAAAATTGACCTCTAAAATGAGAAATGAATCTCTATTACCCTTGAACAACACCCCGATGGCATTTCTAAATCCCTCTAATTTCATACGATGTACTTTGTGTGGATCTCTTTAACCAGCACAGGGAGGGAGTCCTTTTAAGGTGAATTTTGTAGAAATGCACCCTTCATGGGCTCTAGTCTCAATTTAACAATGCCTTTGGTGTCAGCAAAAGTGGGTGAGCACTAACCACTGCTGGAGCTCTCACCTTTGGGTATGTTCTGTGGGAGCACTGCCTTGCTTTTTGCTAGTGGTGCAGTGCTCAGGACACTGGAGGCTGTGTCAGCTCCCACCTCACCCTCCTCGAGCATGGCTTGTGGTCCTTGGCAAACCACATGATCTCTGTGTGATTTCCTTTGCTCGTGTGGTTGGTAGCCCCTGGTTTTGGAGTCTGGTTGGGTTTAACAGCAAAGCTTTGTTGAGTTCAGAAACGTGCACACAGGAGCGCTCTCGGTATCAGCACTTCATTCCAAAGACAAATCAACTCATTAGTAACTTCCTTCTGCTTACCACTGTCCACTGCCTGCACATCGTTTGTCCTCCTAGTTCCAGCTTTTGGTAGGAGCAACTTGGGCTTGAGCTGCAGGCTGCTGGACGTAGTTGCATTTCATTGCAGTAGGCAGTTGTGTTTGCTTACATGGGAGACTGAGCTTACGGCTTTTGAAGTTCAGGGAAGATGTGAAGAGGTGAAGGGGAGAAAGCAAAAAAGGATACATTTCAAATCAAAGCCTTTTGATGCTGAAATTGCCTAACTCAAACTCTTGTCTTCACACATCAGGGCTTAATGCTGATAGTGATTTACTTACACTTCCTAGTTAATAATTAGACATTGGGAGACACCATATATCACTCCTAATGGAATATATGGGGTCTGATGAGAGTTTTCCGTTTTGACTAATAAATTTTAACCAGAATCGCCAAGCTTAATGAAATATTACCACTTCGGAAGGGGTTTAAGTCTTGTGCTGTGAAAACAGTGTTGCTTTATTCAGTAAATGAATTTATCATTCCCTCTGTATCCTGAGCCCGAGCTGGCTCTGGAGCACGGGCTGAATGCAAGACTCTGAACTAGAAAGTGGAAAAACTAATCAAATCCTTAAAGACCAAAGGCAGTGAGGCAGGTCTAGACTGACTTTTTCAGTGGTAGCCTCTGGCTACATCCACTTTTATTTTAGTAACCATTGTTAGCATGATTTATAACTTTAGCTTTAAGACATACGCTATTTAGATGTAATAAGATGCTTCGCAGCTTTTATTTCTCTTTCCTAATTTCTCTCTTGTTCTTGCTTTGTTTCACTTCCCCCCCCTCTTCGTCTCCCTCTCCTCACCCCAGCAGTGTCCCCAGTCCTGCAGTTGATGCTGTGCTGAAGGAACACTTCACTGTCAGCATCAAGGTCAACCAGACGGCCTCAACTGATGGCTGATGGACTTGTGGCCTGGTTAGGGCAGAGGAGACCACTGTGTGCAGGGTTTAGTCTCCTACTGCTGCACAAAGCTTTTCTCTGCTAATTCTGTGCATGAAGAAGAGGATATGCCCCTCAGCAAATAGGGATCTCTGCTAAGCAGCACACAGTTCAACTCCATGCCCTTCAGAGCCATTCACGGGAAACACTGCCATGCCAGAAGGAGAGTGATCCTGTCCAACAGGATCCTGCCCCCTTCCCAGGTACAGCATGGGGAACCTGCTCTAAAAATGCATCGTGTTGTAAGCAGTGTGACTGTAGCTGTAAGGTCATTGCAGCTCTCCTTAGTCTACCTATGTGTGGGCTTGGTGGGTCCAAGTACTGCTGA